TAGGATCCACTTGCTCATGTCAAACATGTGAACACATTAATCTGCACAATATAATTTAGCACTATTAGTCAATTATCAAATTGACCACAAGTACTAATTAAGATGATGAATCATAATTAGCTACCTAATCATCTTCACTTAACCATCTTAAGTCCTAACCATTCCCCTCAATCCTTTTACCACTTCTATTAGCATCCTTATAGTTCACACAAGCATTCTCACTCTTCCACCACTTCTCAATCGAGGCCCAATTGAGCTTATAGCTTTTAAGTTCTACTAGTAATCACCAAACTAGTCCGCAAAACTTAGTTTAAATCTAGATATCCATTTTCTAATTATTGAGAAATTAAGGTAGAATATGATTATAGGGTAGTACGAAACTTACCTATTAAGCGACAGGTCGGAAATACCTCCCAGGTGCTGACAATTGCTTGCCTTAGTAAAGTAAGCCTTCTCCTCCTCTTCTTTCACGTCTCTCCCTTTTCTCCTATAAAAACATGAGTTGACCCAAGCATCCTTTATCCAAATTCTATACCATACAGTGTGTCACACTGTGCACAAGCCGCGACACGTGTCATTGTGAGGAAATTCTCACTGTGGCTTATATGTTTCACTTTGGATTGCTATTCTCCCACTCGATCTTATTCATACAATCATTCATCAACCCAAAAAGTCAACTCACCCTCCAAAACTATGATTATTCAATTAATCACTAATTTACTAATTTTACCCCTAACATTTTTGAATAAAATATTTAGGATGTTACACATAAAGTTATAATAATCCACTAACAAATACTTTAACTAAACAATATCATTACTAAACTCCTTTTTTTCATATGCACTCTTTCCACAACATCGTAACATGAAGACATGTCATTTTATTTTAATATATTCGAAGGTTTAAATGTAAAAGCTATAGGTAAAAAGAAATAAATAAATCAAACTACTTCATATATATCATATCATCTCCCAACACCTATATATGTAAGCAAGCTCCTTAATCTCAAGTTGAACAAAAAAATTGAATATCTTCTATATTTAGTTTAATTAATTAATTATTCATTACACATATTAAGTCATTCAACTAAATCAAAAATTCCTCCTCCCACATTTCCCCAACACCTTACATGCATTCTAAAATCAAGTCATATGAGTACCAGGGTTTATAAGTTTCTAACCATACAACTCCCAAGCATCGACATGTTCTCTACAAGTTTTTATAAATTCAATTTCATAACAAGATTCAACTTAGTATAAGAGAAAAAAAAATCTTAAATTTAAATTTAAATCATTAATACATTAATTACATTCCAACTTTTCTACACATTTTCACAAACACCTTGTGGGCATCAAAATTCAATCTACATCATCAAATTTCTTACTCTTCAAATCTTTAATCAACAATTCCTAAACATTTACATAAGTTTACTATGATTCCCAAATTGATGTCTTTATAAAAAACAAATCCATTCAAACAACACTAAAAATGTTTCCTTTTTTCCATTACGACAATATATATATATATATATATATGTAACTGCAATACCTACCTAAAATGAACACCTTGACTTGCCAAATCTCCATTTTCATTGAACTTCAACTTCACGTGCAGCAACTAAACAAAGGAGGAGAATGACATATTTATCCATTCACTCCACAAGACACACACATGGCAAAGAAAGAGGATTGGGAAGAAAGAAATTTGAACCTACACACCACATGTTAGCAACAGTACGGAACAAAGGAAAAGAAGATTATTTTGTTTATGTGAGGAGCAAGGGAAGAAGAATATCAGAAGATGGGATTAGAGTTGGAAGACGATCAAGCACACTAAATGGAGACCTACAGGGATGATAGATAGCACTCTCCACATGCACACGCCATCAATAGGAAGGACAAGGGAAGAAGGTGATTCTCGAACCCTCTACCCCTTTCTCAATTTACAAACATAGAAACAAAATGGGAATGAAGGGGAAATATCTAATGTCTTTAAGAGGGAACTTTGGTAATTTCATACAGTTGAAGGAAAATAAAATATCTACCTTGGTAAATTTGAGCTCAAGATTTGAAAATGGCAAACTCATTTTGTTATATCTACCACAACATTATAAATAATATAATTAAAAATATATTATTATAAATCTTAATATTAATATTACATTTTCTTAGGGTCATTACAAAGCAAAAGAGGAAACGGGCTTCATCGGGGTAGAAAAAGTAGCATATGTGGAGAGAGTGGTTTCTCCTCACTTATCTCGCTCAACACCACATGTTCACGTAAGGGTCAAATGAAGTTATTTAACAATAAGCATTCCTAAAAGCTAATGTCAGGGCAACACTATTCTAATTTCAAAAGGAGGCCAACATTGATCCAATAAAAGGTTAAGGATACTAGGTGAATAAGTTCCAAGGCATATTTTTTCCTTTGAGCCCAAAATATACCATGTTTCATATAATTATCTTCATGAAAAAAGGAAAGAAAAATTATATTAAACTTAAATTGCATTAAGCTCATTACCTTTGTACTCATATAGCCCTCTCTATTCTAATATAGCCAAGAATCTCTCAATCTCTCAAAGCTAATTCTATTGTGATTCTTTTCAAGTTTAAGTATTTAACTTATCTTGAATATTCTATTGGACCAATTTCATCATTTCAAAAGTCTTTTGGAAGATATTAATCCTTGTTTCGTATCAAAATTAAATTTTGAAGCTTATGTGCATTTATAGCTAAAGTGGTCCTTTATACCTGTACAAGCATTGTTATGCCAATATAAGCATCTCTTATTCACCTATCTTTTGACTTATATTGATATAGCTTCCTTATTCCTCTATAACTCTAGTTGTACTAGTACAACTATCTTTATACCTCAAAATTTTCTTTAAGCCTCTATTTATCTCTGTATTCTGATATAGTGATTCTTATTTGGATATAAATCCTCTTATTCCAAAATATCCCTGGTTATATGAGTATAACTTCCTTTATTCAGGTATAATCATATTTATTCCAATATAGTGTCTTATAAATCACTATCTTTTATGAAGATTTATTTCAATACAAATGAGTTATTCCAAAACAATGAATGTTGTGCATTATCTTTGAATGTTCTTGACTCTACTTGTATCTCTCTTTATTTTGGTATAAACATCAATATTCTTACTCTATTTTTTGTGTTTGATCTCAAGATATTCAAAACTCATTCCTAGCTTAATCCTTTCATTTTCTATAAATTGTGTTTGCATTATAACCCTCATAGAATCCTTTTAAAAACAACCTTAGGTATTATTAAATTGTTATATATTCTTCAATTATCCTTTATACCCGTATAACATTGGCTCTACTAATATAAACCTTAACTACCTTTTGTCAGAGCTTTAAATGCAAAGAGCCATTACTTTCCTTACTTGCCAAAGGCATGAAACTCTGCCAAAAAGTATTGTGCCACCTCTTTTTCAAAGAAAGCTGGAAGGAAAGAAGTTGAAGAGTCTAACAGTTAACCACATGTGTCTAGTGGATCATTTAAAAGATCAACTATAAATAGATGTATTTATGAAGATCCTTTGATTATGTATGCATTAATTCCACTAAATAATGGACAAAATCAAGGTCATCATCCTTGCTAGTTTAAGTAAACCTGTGATGGGAATGTATACTCTGATTGTAAACTTGTAAAACTTCACCTCAATTAATAAATAGCCATTAAAATTTATATGATTAAATAATTAAAATATAAAATATGACCATGATTCAATTTAAATATATTTCAAATATAACTAATTGAAATTAAATATATCTACATTGATAATTATCATACTCAGCATATAAATTTTAAAATAGGGTAAATTATTTTTTGTATGTCTATTTTCTTTTATATTAACGTTATTTTTACTTTTTCAGCTTTATTTAATTTTAAACCATGTTCTATTGCTTCTATAAATCTAATTTTATATAATATATACCTAACTCGCTCAAGTCGATAAAAATCAATGAGTTTAATTGAGTTTATATTTAGTAAGAGTTCATGAGTGAATTAATATAATTTTATAAGCTAGAAACATAAAAATAGTAAATTCGAAGAGTCAACTCTTGAGTTTATTTGAGTTAGCATTTGGTCTGAGTCTATGAGTAAGTTGACTTAATTTTATAAACTACAAACATAAAAATAATAAACTTAGACAACAATAATCAAGATATTTGGATTGAAGCTTCTCATGTATAGGTGTTTCATTTTTGTTGGAAATGTGGGGTGCATTGGGCATATCGAGACGAATTGTATTGTCTAGATAAGGGCTTTATGTGATGTCTATCTTTATAAGAATGCATGCGAAGGGGATCTTTTTTATTTTTTTTTAATCAAATGGGCTTAAATTTTGTTAAGAACATTCGTCTTCCTTTGTTTCATAAGAAGAATTTAATCTCCTAACCAAAATTTGATTTTAAGAAAACCTTCAAAGATTTGGTGGCACCAATAGAAGTATAATATAGAATAAATATACCCCATTGGCACTATTATATTGAACTCATGATGTCTCATCATCACTCGCATGGCTCCTTTGGTCATTATTAGTTATTGCAGACATGACATATCATTGTTATGGAAGCGGTGGCTTTTCCAAAAGGGTTGGCGATAATTCTTTTTAGGGTGTGATTCAATTGGAGCTTTTTACTTCTTCATGCTATTTTCATGAGTCAATGCATGTTCAAAGTCTGAATCTAGTTATTTGAAGCCTGGAACTCATCACTCAAGCCTCTTCCATAGGGGCTAAAGAAGTTGTAGCTGTGAAGTATTTAAGCTGGAACTGTTGCAGTGTAAGGAAGGTTACAACAATTCAAAGATCGAAGCAGGTGGCCAAACTTCACGACTTTGATTTTGTCCATCTTACTGAAGAAAACTTCTAATTTCTTTTGCAAGTTCTTTTTTGTTATTATATATTCAATCGCGACTTTGATTATCTTATTACTATAGATTGGTTTTTCAACCCGTGCAAATGCAACATGTTGAAAACTACAACCATAGGTAATTTATTAATAATATTTAACAAAACAAATACATGGACCGGGCAATGACTGACGGCAATCACATTACATATAAAACAAAATAGAAGAAAGTATGAGAGTGAAAGCGCGAATGCTATAAATATATTGACACAATATAAAAGATTGAACATAATTTTTGTTTTGGTCAATACAGACGAGAAAATGTGCTTTCATTCTCCTTTCAGCTATATTGTAAAGCGCTTCCATAGCTCGCTTTCTTTATTTGATAATGAGAATATATTATAAGATCCTGTAACAAGATATTATATAAATCCATTAGTCCGTGCCCTGTAGGCAAGTATAATCACAAAAAACGGATTTTTCAATAAATATATAAATATAAATATATATATATATATATATATGTTCAAATGAAATGAAACTAATACTAGGCTAATTGACTAGATCAAGTTTCATTCACCAGGTGGAACTCAAAATCAAACTCATATTAGCTATATATTCACGATAGATTGACTTGTCATATGTAGTACAGAACATCAGTGAATTAAAATTTAAATGAATTCTTATGTGACAATATCAAATTTAAATATTGTAGTTGTACACGCATTTGAGATATTTGATCATGATAATAAAAAAGGGTTATCAACAAATTAATAATAAATAATTTTCCATGACATACATATTCACGTTAATATCACAATATTAGCACCCGAAAAGAACCTTTTCATGACGCAATTGTAATCAAATGAATGAGGAACAAAAAAGAACAAAGTAAAATGTAACTAATTAATCTTACCAAGTAGTAAGACCCATGAAAATGCAATATCTAGTAGTGGTAAGGAGGGGGTGGGGAAGAATATATATAGGGTTTGTAAACTGGGGCTGGAGGAGGAGAGTCATAGACATAAGGCTTCATGTATGGTGGAGGTGGAGAATCGTACACTGGGTAGTAATATGGAGGGTATGCATAAACTGGTGGTGGAGGAGAGGGGTATACGTATTCCTTCTTTTGGGGTGGAGGAGGTGATGGGTAAACGTAGGGCTTCTCTGGTGGTGGAGGAGATGGGTATACATATTCCTTCTTTGGTGGTGGAGGTGGAGATGGGTAAATGTATTCCTTCTTGGGAGGTGGAGGAGGAGATGGGTATACATATTCCTTCTTTGGAGGTGGAGGAGGAGATGGGTACACATAGGGCTTCTCTGGTGGAGGAGGAGATGGGTATACATATTCCTTCTTTGGGGGTGGAGGAGGAGATGGGTATAGGTATTCCTTCTTTGGGGGTGGAGGCGGAGATGGGTATAGGTATTCCTTCTTTGGAGGTGGAGGAGGAGATGGGTATACATATTCCTTCTTTGGGGGTGGAGGAGGAGATGGGTATACATATTCCTTCTTTGGGGGTGGAGGAGATGGGTATAAGTATTCCTTCTTAGGAGGTGGAGGTGGGGAAGGGTATACATATTCCTTCTTTGGAGGTGGAGGAGGTGATGAGTACACATATTCTTTCTTGGGAGGAGGAGGAGATGGATATATGTATTCCTTCTTTGGAGGTGGAGGTGGAGATGGGTATACATATTCTTTCTTTGGTGGAGGAGGAGGAGATGGATATATATAGGGCTTCTTTGGTGGCGGAGGGGAGGGATACTCATAGTAAGGTTTTTCTAATGGTGGAGGAGCAGGGTAGATATAGTCTGCAAAGGTTTCATGTGGCAGGAAACTTAGGCATACAAGTGACAAGAAGAAAGTGAGGGTGGCAGAAGCCATTTGTATTTCCATCTTTCTTAATTCAACTCCAAAGCAGGAGTTGCTTCTACTCTTTGTATTTTGGAAGTGTCTAATGCCACACCGTATATATAGAAACTCCTTCAGCACTTGGCCTCCCTCTTCGTTGCGATGGATATTATAAAATGAGAATAGGGGTGTGGGGTCACTATGACACACCGTTCTACAAGCCCATTTTCTTAAGGCTCATAACCATATTGTTCTATGCATAAGTTTAGATATCACTTTCATTTTATATTTTTATCTTTGGTTTGGTGGAGAATTTTTCTACATAATCATAAAATGTTCTTATTTTATTTTTATTTCACACGCTAATTAACTTGGTCGTCTTTAATGAATTTGAACAAGTTAAAAAATTAAGTGTGAAAATAAAGTAATAATTTTTTTTAGGCCAACGTGCACCCCAAGTAGGTTCACCAAAACCACTTTCGATTGGATGAAGGCCACGAGATATTGATTGAGAGAATAAAGTACAGATCTATATCAAGCTCCGATCCTTATTTTCTTTGTGTACGTAACGTACGAAGGGCCAAAAAAGACACTAGTAATATTTAAATTTATTTCTGACTGTGTAAGCGATATAGATTACGCTAATAGTTGATTTGTTCAAAAGTCGTATTTCATTAAGTTATATACCTCTATATATAGTTTACTAATTCCACGCGACTTTCGAAATTTACAATGTCAAACATTGTGTTAATTTTGTCCCTTTGGAGACAACCGACAAAATTGGAACGAAAACATTGTCTTAATTTCTTCTTTCTTTGTGCGAGTTATTTTAATAAATTTTTTTAATAATACTAGAAATGATAAAATTGAGAGAAGTATGAAATAAAATTTAACTAAACTTTATCAATTGAAAATGAATGTAAAAGACTAATTTGGTCGTAAATAATCTTGGGAATGTGTCATAATAGCATGGAAGGGCAAAATGAAGAAAGGGAGAAGGCATAAGAAAATTGTCAATCAGATATTTATAATCTAAGATCTTGATTTTCATTATTAAATTTGGAAATTTTATATTTTATTTTATGTTTTCAAAATTTGAACATTTTTATTTTAATATAAGCAAAATTTAAAATAGATATGATTTTCTATTAGCTCATATTGTTAATATGAGACTTCTTAATTGACAATATTTTTAAAAACTAAATAAATGATAGAGTATAATGGTATTGTATAATCCATATAACTGACCCACCTTAGTAAAATAAGATTTCAACAATATTAAAGCCATCAACAATAACCCTTCGTTTGAATATGGGAAAAACTATGGAGCAAAGAAAATTAGAAGAGAAAAACTCTTACAAATATTAAAAATTTTACTAGTTTTAAAACTTTCTTTTCATATTTTTCTCTTGTCCCTATCACCTTTCTATCTATCCAAACTAAGCCTAAGGATCCACACCCTTTGTAGATCAAATTACAACAAAAGGATTCCTCGGATTAAATGTTTATTTTTATTATTCTTTATTTAATAGCACAAACTAATATCTCTAATTTATAAATTACTTTTGTCGTTTCATTTATTTTTCCCATCGTATTCCATTTAAAATGAGCCCGTTGAAGAATGAAAAAGAAAGACTATCCTTTTCTTAGAAATCAAGGGTTGATAATAAAATTTATTTCTACATGTGAATAATATTATGACACGATATAGGAGGACGTATAAAATTTATATCTTTAGAAGCTCATATAATACATTAGTTGTGATATCATTCTCAAAATAAATAATATAGAATAACATGAACGATTTATACTTCACAGTTTTAAAATATCTTTTTGTCGCCAATCTCTATTAAAAATATTTTTTTTAAGTATAGTTCAAAGAGAAGAATATTAACAAGGAAATGATAAACCTTCATTAATCACTACAATAATTTTGATCTATGACTAGGGGGACAAAACCATTGCCCATAGTCTAAATATAAGCAACAGTTTTGAGCTTCAAAAATAGACAATGATTTTTGCCTGTTGTCATGCATGTTTTTCCAACAATTTATGCCTATATCCTAAAACTAATAGGCAACGGTTTGTTCTCGTAGTTTATTCATTTTAGGCAACAGTCTACTTGTGTTGCCTTGTTACAAGTCTTAATCATTGCCGTAGACTATAATTGTTACTCCCTCCTATTCACTTTATTAGTTACATGTTGAAAAGGGTGAAGTGATCCACCTTATAAATTATTAAATTGATTGTGATATTTTATTTTAAATAAAATATCTAAACTATCCTTAAAAAATAAAAGAAAGAAAAACAGAAAAATAATATTATATATTTTATTTATTTTTTGAGGGTTATATTTATAATTTTACTAAATTTTATTCTTTGTACTTTTGTTGTATTAATATCGATGAGGTTGGTAGAAATGACTTATAAATAGAATTGAAGGGAGTATAATACATAAACCGTAAGCTTAGACTGGAAGCAATGGTCATTAAGTGTTGCCTTTGTTCTACACTACAAGTTCTCCTTCTTGCCTAATATATTTATTATATTTTACTATTATTTGAATGATCCAACAAATGGAATTCCATATACCCCTATAAATTGACACTATATATAATGAACAACAAATAAAAGTTCAATTTAATTGATATACAAATCAACAAAATTATCGAATCTTTTACAAGTAAGAGTATAATAAGCTCTCAAAATATAGTCAACTCTAAAAACATATATGTTGGAAAGTGCACAAATAAAAAACACTTGTTAAGTTATCCAGGTGCAAGTAAACTTAAGACATGAGAAGTTACACATCAGATAAAATTAAATTTAATAACTAATATATCAAAAAGTGATTTAGTCCATAAGGTACGCTCTAATGTATCTTTTTGGTGTAGTGTTCTCTCATGTGTGTGTGTGCGCATTTACCTCTGCCACTTCTAACTCAGTGAAATCCTTTGCCACTGCACAAAAACATGAAATGATCACTGCATTACTTGTGTTTCAAAGGCGTTGATGTAGTTGAGAGAATATTGGCTTGTGTGGGGACCACTGAAATGAGAAGGTCGAATCACGAAAGAGTACCAGCTAGGCATCCAAAGAAAAGATTTACAGAATGATGTGAACGATTTATAGTAAAGTATACTTCTCAGTTTTAAAGTATATTTTTGTTGCCAATCTCCATTAAAATATCTTTTGTACTGTTACGTATATTACAAAGAATAGAAAATAATATTAACTAATGTCTCATTTGGTTATTAAAAAGAAATGGATTGAAAAAATAAATATAATATAAAAATAAGATGATGAAAAGGAGAAAAAAGTAATTTAATTCATACGGTTGGAAATCATAATTCATGAAATTTTTGAAGAGTATGATAATTCTCACATTAATAATACATATTAATGAGTTTTATCATGCTTTCTCAAGGGTAAGGGTAATTTAGTTTATTTTTATTTTGATTTTTTTTATTCTATTTCATTCTAGCAACAAAGCAGCACCTAAGGAAATGAACCTAACCTCCGGTGATGTCACCAATGACATGGCACACATGGCAATCTCACCCTTGGTTATTGTGAACTCATTAGCGATTTTCCTACTCCCGGCCGGTTTTGGCGTCCCTCTTGGCTGAAGGAGGCGGGGCAGCACCAAGTACGACATAGTGATGAGATAGCCATGGAGATCTCGGATGCAATGAAGACAAGATACAGATGAAGAGAAGAGCAAGAACACATGACTTAAAGACGATAGGGCTAAGAAAGGTTTTAGACCGTTCAGAAATCTGACCCAATTCTTTGATAACTTCATTCGACTTTTTGCCATAGGATCCAGATCATGAGAAGCCGATCAAATTCTTGGAGTCGTCTTGAAACACTAATGAGTAATGAGAAGAGACTCTTTAGTTGGCTACGACTCTTGAACTCTCGGCCTAAATTCCTCATATCTCTTTGATACAAGAAACAGAACACTCAAAAAGCCCAAAACCAGCCTACTCTTGATATCGTGTTAACTACAGTATAAATAGAATAATATTAACATGGAAATTAAACACTACCTAACTTTTTGACGATGACTTTTATTTTTATAAAAAATAATTTATATAATTATTTTTAGTAATAACATTTATTTTCATTAAAAATATTTTTAAAAATAAATATAATTTTAAAATTATATAAAATAATTTATAAAATTATCATTTAAATTATTAAGAAAATTTCTTATGAATTATTTTAAAAATTTAAAATTAAATAAAATCATTCAAAAGGTATTTATGAAATTAAATTTCTTATTTTAGATATAGAATTAGAAATAAATGATATATAAGATAGTGAAACAAAAAGAATAAATAGTGAAGATGTGTTAGGTTTAAATGATAAACCTTCATTAATCATCTAAAAATGATAATGAGAAACAAACCCAACTAAAATGATTTACATAATAATATAACCTTATCTTTAAGGGTGAACGAACCCCAATCAATGGGGACATACTAACCATGAAGGTTTACAATTATAATTTTCCTAGTTCAATAAAATTATACGTTACCCCCTTTATATAGATTTAGGGATATCAACTAATTAAGTTCTTAATACTAATCACACATTAATGCTATATTATTCCAACATTGATATATTTTTGTTTTAATATATCTGCATTTTGAAGTTTAGTAAAAGTAAACATTTGATTCTCTAACTTTGAGGAAAATTTTGTTCAAATCTCATAAGTTAAAGGGTTAATATGAGATCATAATAACTTTTTAGAATTTTGTTGAAATTCAATAAAATTAAATGACTAAAGTGAAACTTAGCTCAAAGTTATGAGATCATTAGATACACTTTCGTCTTGAAGTTTCGGTTCTATTTCAAGACATAGCTTTTTAGAATTTAATGAAGCATTAATTATTTAAATCATTTTACCTTCATTTTTAAAAATAATTGTATCCGATCTTATTTTAAAAAAAAATTGCATCTCGAGCAGATTTTAATCTAGAAAATAAAACAAAATAACAAAGCTTAGATTAGTCAAACGGCATTAGTTTTAGATGCAATAATCTGGGCCATTCGATAATTTTTTAGTTTGTTTGTATAACCTTAAGCAACATATATTTCAAAATAAGAGGATTCGTTAAGAAAAGATTAATTTATCAGCCTCTTTAAATTACTCCTTTCTCCTTGTTAAACTTGTCCCTATAGTTTAAGTAATTAATCACTTTCTGTAATCCGTTATCTCAGCCCCCAGCATCAGGGAACATTTAAGCAGAAAGATTGAATAGGGACCATATAAATCACAAAAAAATAATAATAATAATAATAACGAATGACACCCAAAAAAATAAAATCACAGGTGCAATTTTCAAATTCAGCGGTTAATTTTTTGTTGCCTTACATTGGATTAATGTTTTTCTTCTAAAAATTGTACAAGTCAAATAAAAAAATTTCATAAGTATCTCTCTTAAATTTAGTTGTCTTCCTATCTGCTTTATTTTTTAATTTCTACATAATTCCATTTAGTAAAATTATATTGTAATTTTAATTTTAATTCACGCTAAATAACTAGGTCTTCCTAAAGAGTTTGAACAAGTTAGTACTTATTATTATTATTATTATTATTATTATTATTATTTTATATTATTTTTTGATATCGAACAAGTTAATACTTCGTTGAACACACTAACAATATTTGAATAAAAGAAGAGAATAAAAGTGGGCTTTTATGAACCGCAAGAAAGCCTAGCAGAGAATAAAAGTGGACGACCACGATACTAGCAACATTTAAATACATTTTGACTATGTAAGCAATATAAACAATATTGATAGAAGATTTAATCAAAACTCGCGTTCGTTATTTTAATATTTTATGGTTTAATATTTTTAGAGAAATTCTTGGTAGACTAGGTGCACAATGTTATTTATATTCTGTTCAATAAAAACACAATATTTAGATAATATTAAATATAAATTAATTTTATCATTAACAATAATAGAAAAAGAAAAAATATGAAGTTAAAATATATATTTTGTTATAAGAATAAAATTAATTAAAATAATATCACATAAAAAACAACGTTTTTTTTTTTTACACATATCCGTGCTCTCACGTAGAGCTTGTCGTCTCTCCCAGTGAGAGTTTGCGTCTCACGTTGCCCACTGCGGCAGTGCATATCGTCACCTACTTATACAGAAGCGGTGACTTCTGTGAGCCTCGTCTCAAAGAGCTTGCCTTAGGGCCTTCTTGTCTCTCTCTCTCTCTCTCTCTCTCTCTCTCTCTCTCTCTCTCACATCTCCTTCTCTGTGTGCGATTTTGGCTGTGTCTCTTTGTTCTCCTTAGTCTTTAGTACATAGAGGTCCCGGAGGATAAGGGAAAGAAGAAAGAAGATTCCAGTAGTACACCAACCCCCACACGCCGCCTTAACCTAGTATGGAAGAAAGAAGATGGAGGTGCACTTGTGAGTCGAATCCTAACCCAAAAACAGATTAATTGCTCAGCCACGCTAAACATGGTTTAAAATGGATGGGGCCTAAAAGAGGGAGTGAATGTGATTGACGCTGGAACAAACACGTTTATTTTCAAGTTTGACTCTAATCATCATAGGCGAAGAGTGCTCCAGGGAAGACCATGGTCTGTCAGCGACAATCTTCTGAGCCTACAGATTTGGAACAATTATATGGTCTTAGATGATGTTAACTTTAGTTTGATCCCATTTTGGGTTCAGTTTCACAATCTCCCTTTGGGAGCTTTCTGTAATGAAAATTTATGTACTATGGGAAATAAAGTTGAAACTGTATTGTGGATAGAGAAACCAGAGCATGAAGGCTGAATCCATCGTAATTTCATGTGTGCTCACATTCTAGTTGATACGAGTCTCCCTCTGACTCCAGGTTTTTGGTCAACACGACCCAATAGAGATGATGGTTGGATTACCATTAAATATGAGAGACTTTAAAATTTTTGCTATGGTTGCGGTAAAATAGGCCATGAAAACAGAGTATGCAAGGAACCAAAAGCTGGTTTTTGAAGGTGACAGTAAGAAACACGGCTTTGGGCCATGCATAACAGTATAAGCAGTCCGACACTCAAAGAATCTATGACACAAGATTCACCAAGACTGGGGAGAGGAAGACGGTGGAGCAGAAGAGGAGGCGCATGTTGCAACAGAGAGAGCAGAGCAAGTGGAAACGGCTATTATAAAACATAATCCTCCAATCAAGACAACATCCCCTGTAAAATTGTCTAGCACCGCCCATCAGTCCGAGCAAAGTACAGAAAGTGTCATGGTGACTGACATACTTCCAGTTTGTCTTTATCGAGATCTACCTTCAAGGTCTCCACAAAGGTCCATAGTCTTCTTGAATGGGCCTGAAATTGGGCAGCATAAAAGCCCAATTAATTTTGAGCTCAAAATGAAGTCAGCCGTATTCGAAGTAAGCCCAATTGACATTAACACTGACCCAAATGCTTTAAATGCCAGATCTGCACCAATTACTAAGACTTCTAATCCCTTGAAGGCCATCATTCCTTACTCACCTTTGTCCCCTGTTTTGGAAGTTTCAGTAAAGTTTGGTGGTTTCTCTCTAAAACGCGAAGCAAACGAAGTCTCCTCCCCCACTCATCTTAAGCGTCGCAAGTTGTTCTTGGAAGAAGATATAGTTGAAGGTCCAATTCAAGGCTCAATTATTAAACCTTTATTGCATACTTATGGTAAAAAGGGTGGTTGAAAGACTAGAAGGAAGCCTATTACCCTTGATAAATTTTTGAGTGAGTCAAATCTCTCTAATTCAGTTGATTTCACTAATCTGTCTTTGATAAATATGCCAATACGTGAAGAAATTGACTTCCCAAAAGAGTGGTTTGTTTTCCATGGTAATAAATCAAATTTCACATCTGCTTCTCTTGCTGAGGGTGTTAGTGGCTGGCCTGAAATAGCCACCAAAGAGCCATAAATATTCTAGCTTGGAATTGTCAAGGAATTGGAAAGCCCTTGGCAGTTCACAATCTCAAGAATGTGCTTTCCAAAAATAAGCCAGCTGTGGTCTTTCTTATGGAGACTAAGAAGCAGGCATTCTACTTGGAGCAAATAAAAAGATAGTGTGGCTACCTATTCTCTAAGTACGTTAATCCATTAGGCTTATCTGGTGGTCTTGCTCTATGGTGGAAGGATGATGTTGATTTAGAGGTTCTCTCTTTCTCGAAAAACTTCATTCATGCTTACTTGAAATTGTGTATTTGGGACTGCCCTTATCACACCCCAAAAATCAGGTGTGACTGGCACGGGATATGAATACAAACCTCACATCTTTTAAGCTGTGATAGGAGAAACTCTGAAATTAATACGCTAAACACACTAATAGAGTAATTAAAATTATTACAATATTAAATCATATATTCAATTTTTAAAAGAAATTGGAGGATCCTACCTGTAGTCTACATGGAGCACCTAAGGCCAGACGCCAACATAGGTATAAAGTGTAAATTTTCATCAAATTAGGATTTGACTAAAATAATTCTTCTACTTCAATTCAGTAATAAAACTCCTTAGTGGATATCTTGAGTCACGAGTTCAACTATACCATCTGAGACCAAAATATCTTTTTCCAGTGAATAACATCCTAAAAATAAATAATTGAACATGAATAAAATGAAAAGCTTGAAATAATTATGTAAGTTAAATAGACAAAATTTTCATAAAAATTTTATAAACTTCATAATAAAATGGCTTTATAAATTTCAAATAAAATCTCAAATCATTGAACTATCATAGAAAATGATAATATCACTTGATTTCAAGAAAGCATATAAATGAAATAAATATTTATAAACAAATTACTAAATAAAAACCAATAGAATATGAAATCATTAAACAATTGGATTCATAAATATAGGGACTTATCAGAACAATTAAC